AATAATAATTATTTCTTTCTTCTAGGCATATGAAACATTGCTCCAAAAGGTACTTAATAAAAATTATTTGAATCCCTGTTTCTTAGTAACCAGAGTAATCAAACCCAAAGAAATCTGTATTCATCTCCAAGTAACATAACATTAGAATTTAGCTAACTAAATCAAAGTTATTATGTCATATAATTTCTATTAAGAAAAATGATATTATTACTATTATCGAAAAAGATACTCATTGCACCATTTACATAAAAATTGAAATATGAGATCTGAGTTGAAAAATATTTGGAATGATATTTTCAACCTATTGCTAGGGCAAATAATAGCATTTGCTCAAAAATCCTAAGAGTATTCTTCTAGCATGTGTGAGGTGGTGAGATATAACAAAGTTGTTGCACATGTTCTCTGATGGTATTAAATATTTGTCCCTACTCACCGCTGTAAGTGGTGTACCGGTGAAGCTGGGTGAATTTCCATGATTAAGAATCACTAAGGCAGAGTTCTAAGCATGACCAACCACAGCTATGCCTCACCAGAGGAGTCCACCAGAAAAATGCATATAACTTCCAGAGTTAACATGTCACTTTTCTAAATGCAAAAGGAGAAATATATCATCATAAAAAGCAATCAAATGGTTTAGAAAGTTAAGGCAGTGTTGAAAGGTGGCACCTAACTTAGAGCCAGGGATTAATTTGGACCTTTAGAAAATTAAGGTTTCAGTGATGAACTATGGTTGCCTAGAATGAAAAATCCTCACTAAGAGGAAAATTATACTTCCAGAGAAATGCTAGGGTGAAAAACAAGGTTAACTTACAGTGCCAAGGCAATATGCCGTTAATCAAAGTCATCCCTTGTGACAACTACAAGGGATTGCCAGGGTTACTGGTATCTGGAGAGCACTCCTGTGGAGTGATATGACCATTCCCAGAGCAATTTCCCTTTTGCCTCAGAAGCAAGGAATCCTGAGTGCAGCCCATGATGCTCTCCTTAACCAAGTGAAGGAGCTCAGGACAGAGCTGAAGGAGGAAAGCAAGAAGTCTATGAACTTGAAGAGCCAACTGGAAGATGTATCTATCTTGCAGATAACTTTGAAGGAGGTAAATAATACTAGTTGAAAAATACCATCAATTGTGCTACATTCCAATTTCAGAGATGTTAGAATGTATATCTTAGCAACAATATGGGTATTTCATTTTTTCAAATGAGAAAAATGAGGCTCCAACTGGTTAAATCATTTGCTTAAGATTATACCATTAGGGGAAAAGCTGGAATTTATACTTATGTCTATTCTCCAAAATGCTTGCTCTTTCATAATGTCTTCTGCTTCTTTAAACGTAGAAACCTAGACACAGTGAAAACTTACTTTGGAGAATCTTCATTAATTCCAATAAAAGTTTCTAGCCCATCTTCAATTGGTTCAAGTCTTTATAGTTGAATGACTCCTCATAGACACTGCAGATGGACATAGAAAAGCTCTCATCCACGCCCTACCCTGCCACAGAAAAGGGATAATCTGTGCAGGGCAATAAATTTTAAAATTTTTATCTTAAGGAATCTACTGTCATTCTTAGTTTCAGGAGAGAATTGAAGATTTGGAAGAAGAACGAAAATTGCTGAATGACAATTATGACAAACTCTTAGAAAAGTAAGTACCATGTTTGAGTCCCAGAGCATCGTTTGCTATAAAAGACAATTATAGAAAGTGCCTTCCAAATTTTAAAAGTAATATCTAGCATTGATAAATACGTGGGAAACTGGTACTCAATATTGATATTGAAAATATAAATTGGTACAATCTTTTTGGAAGGGAATTTCACACTATCTATTAAAATGTTAAATATGCATATCTTTTTTTTTTTTTTACCAGCAATTACATTTTTAAACAAAATTTTTTTAAAGGCAGGGTCTAACTCTGTCACCTAGACTGGAGTGCAGTGGCACTGTCATAGCTCACTGTAACCTCAAACTCCTGGGCTCAAGCAATTCTCCTGCCTCAGCCTCCCAAGTAGCTGGGACTACAGATGCATGCCACCCTGCGCAGCTAATTTTTAAATTTTTTGTAAAGATGGGGTCTCATTATGTTGCCCAGGCTGGTCTCGAATTCCTGGCCTCCAAGCCTCAGCCTCCCAAAGTGCTGGGATTACAGATGTGAGCTACTGTGCCTAGCCCATTTGTTGGAATCAAAACTTTAAAAATCTTCTTGTGTATGTGCAAAAATATCTATTAATATGTAATAAGAATATTAATTACTACATTGTTAGTAAAAGAAAATGGAAACCACCCAAATTTCCATTGATAGGGGATTGATTATATAAATCATGTTGCCTGCCCACAATGAAGTGCTATGCCACTGGTAAAAATGAGATAAGTATATTGTTAAAAGAAAAAACAAGTTGTAAAAGAATATGTTAATTCTCCCTGGTTTATGTTATGTGTGTTTATGGATCCACAAACTTTTAATGAGATAAGAGCATTAGAGGCCGGGCGCGGTAGCTAACGCCTGTAATCCTAGCAATCTGGGAGGCCGAGGCAGGTGGATTGTTTAAGTTCAGAAATTCGAGACCAGCCTGAGCAAGAGCGAGACCTCCCA